GGATAACCGAAGACAATTCGGAGGTCAGCACGACTCGTGACGCTACCTGGGGGGGAGGGGGGCGGTCGGGGCCGGTAACGGCCGCTATCGCGAAACATATGAACCGCGCTCTACGAATAGTTGTTCTTTGCTCCGTCTCTTCCTCCTCTATCTCCTCATCTTCTTCAGATCCTCTCCTTCCGCTCGTCTCCCTTACGCGTTCTCTGTCGAGGAGAATCTGCGCCAGTTGCGGAAGCAGGCGAAACTGGCACGGGCGAGTATGTTCGGCCGCCTGTTCGATCCAAAGGCTGCCGAATGTTGCTGTAAGTGCTGGTTCGAGGACGTTTGTCACACAGTGCAAATACGCGATTGCAGTTGTGCGCCAATATGTGTGCATCTTGTATTCACGTCTGCACGACCCTACTTGCCATTTTTCGGGTGTGTAGTGGAGTAGGCATGTCGACATGAGGGTGTGGATGCCTGTGCTTGCATAGGTGTCTGCATGACGCGTAGAGGTGTAGTTGTGTGGATGCTCAGATGCGTGGTACTTACAGATGCGTAGACGAGCAGGTGTGATGTACCTGTTGGCCTTAGGCCCATCCCGCCACCGTGCCTGGGTTGTGTGTCCGAGGCCTCTTGGATGGCTGTTTGGGTCTCTTGGGATGCTTCTCGGGGGCCTCACAGAGGCCCTTGAGGCCTCTTCAGGACCTTTGGGATGGCCTCTCGGAGACCTCTTAGACGCGGGAATCTGGGGCGCTTCTGGGGGGCTCGTGGGGGCCTGTTGGGGTTTTGGGCGGCGATCAAGGAGGGAAGGGCTCCCAATACCACTTCGATTTCCCCCTCTCGGACTCCTCGTGGGGCCCTCCTGGGAGCCTCTTGTGCCGTCTTTGGGCTCTCTTGGACCGACTTTGGGTTCGCTTCGGGCCTCTTGTGCCGTTTGGGAGCGATCTTGGGGCCTCTGAAGCTCGAACGCGCGAGTACGCCAAAATCCTTCAACAAGCAAGTTCGTGACTTTGGCCTCTTGACCCCCTCTTGGGGGTCCCCTCGGCTTGGACCGTCTTGGGGCCCTCTTGAGACTCTTTTGGCTTATGCCGGCGCTCTCTGGCCTCCGAAAAAAAAGCACGCGGCAAGCCTCCCAAGGCATGCGGAGGCCCCCCTTTGAACTCCGAACTTGGGGGTTCTGGTTACTCCACAAGAATTTTCTCTCAGTATAGAGAACCCGACGGGACCGGAGAGCCCTCCTCCCAGTGCCTACGGCACGGTGGCGGATTCCTTCAATCGTTTCGCGCAGTGAGGCGGACGTGACTGGAAGCTGCCAGGGTATTTCACTGTGGCAGAACTCAATGGACCGCGTCATTGCCCAAGCTTCGCCGTTGAAACCCGTTCAAAGGTTGTCGCCAGCATCTTGGAGGATTTTTGGGACGTGTGGGGGCTTCATGCTGGCCTCTTGGACTCCTCTCAGGGATTTCTTGGCGCCTCTTACAGGGGGCGTCCATGTGGGGCATGCTCGGCCGCCGTGTATGCAGTCAATTGGCATGTCTCGGACTATTTTGGGTCACTTGAGCACCATCTCGGGGCGTTTTGGCGCAATGCGTGGGTCTTTTTATGGTCTCGCGCCGTTAGGCTCGCGCTCTCTGGCCGCGCTTGGGCGCTCTTGAGGCTCTCTTGGGGCTCTGCTGGTTCCCTGTTGTGGAGTCTCTGGGCCCTCAGAGGGCTAAGTTACGCGGGTCCCGAGAAGCCCAGCGGATCACGCAGAAGGAGAAAGGGCAAAACCATTTACAACTACAATCATGTTAACACTGTTCGCTCTCATCCATTCGAGAGCCATCAGCACGTTTGTCCCAAGCCCTCGACACCCGCCCTTTTCGTCTTCGATCGTACTCCGCTTGGGGGTCTATTTTACTCACCCGCCACGCGTGTTTGGCGCAGCCCCTAAAACAAGTGAAGGGAGGGAGGATGGAAGAAGGGACAAGGGGGAGGGAGAAGGACGGAGCACGAGACAGACTAGCAGGCGGGGAGTCAGGAGCAGAAAACAAGGGGCAGAACCACACAGGCGAGTCGGGCGGGTGGACCCTGACGGAAGGGCCGGGCGGGCGTGCCCAGGCGGCCAGGTCGAGCGGGCGGGTCGCTGAAGCGTCAGCCCTGCGCGAATTTCGAGGAAGTCCTTGGGTGACAGCGCGATTCCCAAGTAAAGCGTGAAGAAGTCCGAGGCGAGAGCGTGGTTCCTGAGTGTCGAGGCGATTCCTGCCTACATTGTGGAATTCCCGCACGAAAGCGTGGGTTTCAATAGACTTCGAGGAAGTATCTGGCGGAGGCCGTTGTTGTGGTAAACGGCGGGGCAGCAACGCAGTCTGAGGCTCAAGATTTCCCCTTGCAGCAAACAGGGTGCTAGCCCCTGGAAGGGCACTTCAATTGAAAAACACAAGGTGCACCGGAGAGGGGGGACCAACTAGATTTTTTCTAGAAGTGAAAGCTCAACACCAACAATCATTTGAGGCTGTGCGCTCTTATCTGCTCGCGTTCCGTTCAACATTCCCCAATCAGTGCTTGCACTGAAGGGGTCTTAGCGGATATTGAAAGATTTGGCGAAAGTACCGGGCCGATTTCGGTGGGCGGCCGGGTTCCCGGGTTCCCGGGTTCCCTGTCACGGGTTTTCCGGCTCCCAGTTTCTGGTTCTGGGCCGATTTCCGTGGGCGGCGGGGTTCGGTGGGCGGCGGGTTCCCGGGGTTCCAATTTTTTTCGTCAACCAGCGGCAGTATATGACACATCCAGACTGCAGTAACTCACCGTTTGAGGTCCACGCTGGTAAATATGACTTGTCCATGTGATGGCAAGCCGCTCCATAGCATCGTCGTGACATACTGTCTTCATACTGATCTCGTGCCGCGAGAGGTGGGAGCGCGCCACCGCTGCATAACACAACTTCGCATAGCACGACATTCCAATCACCATTGTAATTTCGGCAACCCTCTGTGAAAAGGTCGCGCACTTGTACTTGTCATCCTTCTTCCAAAAATCTTGTCTCCCCCTCTTCGTTGATGGGGGCATGGCTCCTCCCTTATCTTCTTCCTCTTCCTCCCCCTGCATCCTCCTCCCCCTTCCCCCTTCCTGCTCAGACCCCTTCCTCCTCCTCATCCCCGTCCTGCCAGCAGGGCCGGCGGAACTGCCAGGACCGGCAGGGCCGACAGGGCCGACAAGGACGGCAGGGCCTGCAGGGCCGGCAGGGCCAGCAAGGCCGGCAAGGCCGGCAGGGCCGGCAGGGCCGGCAGGGCTGGCAGGGCCGGCAGGGCCGGCAGGGCCGGCAAGGCAAGCAGGGCCGGCAGGGCCGGCAGGGCCGGCAGGGCCGGCAGGGCCGGCAGGGCCGGCAGATGATCGCTGCAGCGGCCAGGAGGGCCGGTAAGGCCGGCAGGGCCGGCAGGGCCGCCAGGGCCGGCAGGGCCAGCAGGGCCGGCATGGCCGACAAGGCCGGCAGGGCGGGCAGGGCCGGCAGGGCCGGCAGGGCCGGCTGGCAGGGCCGGCAGGGCCGGCTGGCAGGGCCGGCAGGGCCGGCAGGGCTGGCAGGGCCGGCAGGGCCCGCAGGGCCGGCAGGGCCGGCAGGGCCGGAAGGGCCGGCAGGGCCAGCAGGGCCGGCAGGGCCGCCAGGGCTGGCAGCGCCGGCAGGGCCGGCAGGGCCGTCAGGGCCGGCAGGACGCATTTTCAGTCTCTGCTTGTTTTCCAAATCCGCTGGTTCCATTGCTGGATTTGCCCCTGGGGCCCAAACCATCGACCGAGGGGAACGCGCCGCCTCCGTTTATGCCGTGAGCCTGGATGGTTCTATCTTACTAGTGACCGGTTGTGATTATTGTGGGAGAGGCGTGAAGCGCTGGGATTCGTGGAGGCGCGAGACGAAGGCGGACCTCTGGCAGGACTTCTGAACAGTATACTGGCCCAAGGACCACCGCATTGTCTTCGAGAGAAGGCCCGCGCCCCCCTCGCCGACGTCGACAGTCCGAGGCGACTTTTGCATCGCCAGCGCTGCTGCGGACGCGCCAACGTCACGGGGCAGTCGAGCTTTCCGCCTTCACCGAGGAAGAAGTCCAGCGCGTGCGCAGTCCGGGCCAAGAGATGAGACCCATACGGGCTAGGCTGGCATGTATCCAGGACCTCGCGTGGAAGTTGGGCCCCTAAACCATGTTCCAGGAGGCCCCTCAGAAAGCCGGGGCCCGATGGCTCCGCGAGGCCGACATGGGCGCCCATGCTTGGAAGATCTGGGGTCGCATCACTAGCTGGAGTAGGTGTGCGCAGTGTACTCGCACGCCGAAGGCTGGGTGGGCAATCGGATTTTGTTTACCCGAGATAACGATGTTCGACGCGCGCCCCCTCGCCGCCCCAATATAGGCATGGCTATTGGGGTATTATTGTATCCTCTTTCCAACGTGGGCATCTTGTTCCCTCTGCGCGCCCCCCGCGCAGGGCCTCCTTCCCCCCCTCCTCCTCTTCCCCCTATCTATCTTCTTCGCCCGCGAACCCGCGTGCCAACGCCCTCGTTATCGTCATCATCATCATCATCATCATCATCATCATCATCGTCGTCGTCGTCGTCGTCGTCGTCGTCGTCGTCGTCGTCGTCGTCGTCGTCGTCGTCGTCGTCGTCGTCCTCATCATCATCATCATCATCAGCAGCAGCAGCAGCAGCAACATCAGCATCGTCGTCATCATCATGGCCGTTACAGGTGCTCCTGCGCCTCGGTGGCCATCGGCGGCGCGCGCTGCCTCCTCGCCCCCCTGCGGCGCGCGCACCCCTTTCGTCCGATAGTTTTCGGCGGCTCGGCTTCGATGGGTGCTGGTCCAGCTTCGCGCAGGGCAGCCTGCTCGCGCAGCGCTGGCATCCCGCCGTGATCGCGTCGCGGTGCTCTGGCTTCGTCCTGGGTGCGATCCTCATTCTGAACGATGATGCTATTTGCTGACGTCCTTTCTCGTTGACAACGGGGATCGCGCCGTGGTGTTTGATCATGGGCATGGGGGCTTGACTGGCATGTCGCATGTTTTTCTCACGCATCAGCCCTCTCCTGCCGCTGCTCATCCCCTTCTTCATCTTGGACGCGACGGCCCCCCTGTCGACGATGACAGCGGTGACGACGGTTCTGCTGGGGGCGGCCCAGGCCCCGGCGGGGGTCGTGGTCGCAGCGGACGCAGTGGTGGAGTTGACGGTGGGCCTGGCGTTAAGCGTCCTCGGTCTCGCCCTCATCGCAGCGGCGTTGGCCCTGCCGATGCCCCCGCTGGTCCACGGGTTGGCGGGCGCAGCCCCGTCGAGTTGCCGACGACCCCGCCCTTCAACAAGGGCGCCCCTGCTTTTCTTCCCGCGCCGGTGCGTGGGATTGCAGATGTCCTCGCGTCCGACCAGGGCATTCCTGCTGCTGCGTCGGTGGGTTTGCCTGATGGTGGAGCGAATCCCGGCGTTGCTAGTGCTGCTGGCGCTCGTGGGATTGATGATTGTGGAGTGCCCGCGGATCTCGTGGAGAGATTCGATAACTGTCTTTTAGTCGTCCTCTGTATTCTGGCGGCCCCGCTTCTGAGGCTGAGGCAAACGGATTTGCGGTCGATGTGGATCGCGATTGTGCCCTTGACCATGATGGCGACGTTCTTCCTGCCGCTGATGACGATGCTCATGGTGGAGTTCCTGCTCAAGATGGCCCTGGTCGCGAAGGTTCTCGTGGTGGTGTGGCCGACGCTTTTCTGGCACTCAAATGTTGTCAACGCGGATGCCCGACAAGAAATACGCGTGAATGCCCAGAGAAAACCTTGACACTTCCAGAGCCGTGATACCACGCCCTGACGCTGTAGTAGGCTCCTGGGGATCCCTACCAGGGGGCAGTTGGGAGGTTCCAGATGTCCGATGTCCTGAGAGCCGTGGGGCATGCGGCCCAGATTCCAGAGTCCCCAGATGTCCAGAGTAGGCAGCGGCATCACACGCATCGACCAAGAGAGCACAGGAGGGACAGTCTCGCACTGACCACATCCATGCGCACAGTCTGTAGCAGAACAAGCCTCCCTCCTCCCTCCCGTCCGAGACCTAAGCGGCGAACGTCCAAGAGAGCAGGGGTTGTTTGAGGTGCAGTCGCCAAAACATGCAAATCCCTTTTTCCCGCCGAGCGCTGGTCCATGAGTGCCAACGAGCCTTCGGATATCCAAGACTGTCGGGGCCCTCTACCTTGAAGCGATTTCTTTGGTGGGAAGTCTTTGGACACTGCCGTTCTCAATTCATTGTTGAGAAACTGGGCGCGAGCGTCAGGGTGACAATCAATGGTTGGCTGCGGCATGGCCTGCGTGGCCTCCACAAACCTGGCCGCGCGCGCAGGGTCGTCAAATTTGTCAGGGCCATGCTTCATTTTGGGTCAGCTGTCGCACAAACTTTTCAGCCCCGCGGCTCCCGAAATCATGGCGTTTGCCATCGCGACGAAGGGATCGTCCGCGCGAATGGACAAATCGACAATGGGATCAACCACATGTTGCCCCGCCGCATACGCAGCATCTTGTGGCGCAGTCGCATAGTCAATTCGATGCCGGGGGTCCTGGGGACTAGACCCTGGTGGCAACCTGGTTCATCTGCCCCATGAAGAAAAGGTCGACGCAGCGGCCTGTGTTGCGGCCCGCATAAAAAATTGAAAAATCTTGCCCGTTACGTTTTCCTGCTCGGCCCCGATGGGGCCCGCGCGCCGCGATAATTCAGAACCAGCCTTCGCATTCGCATCCAACAGACAGTGTAAAGGGGCAGGGCTCGGTCGAGCCAGGGCGAGGGTGGATCGTTCAAGCGAAAAGACGCTCGTTCGAGCGAAAAGGTAATCCGTTCAAGCGAAAACCAATCGAGCGAAAACCAATCGGGTTTGGACAGAGCAGCAGACAGTACAGAGCAGCAGAGAGCACAGAGCAGCAGAGAGCACAGAGCAGCATAGAGCACAGAGCAGCAGAGAGCACAGAGCAGCAGAGAGCAGCAGAGAGCAGAGAGCAGCAGAGAGCAGCATAGAGCAGAGAGCAGCGGAGAGCACAGAGCAGCACAGGGCACAGAGCAGCAGAGAGCACAGAGCAGCAGAGAGCACAGAGCAGCAGAGAGCACGGAGCAGCAGAGAGCACAGAGCAGCAGAGAGTACAGAGCAGCAGAGAGCACAGAGCAGCAGAGAGCACAGAGCAGCAAAGAGCACAGAGCAGCAGAGAGCACAGAGCAGCAGAGAGCACAGAGCAGCAGAGAGCACAGAGCAGCAGAGAGCACAGAGCAGCAGAGAGCACAGAGCAGCAGAGAGCACAGAGCAGCAGAGAGCACAGAGCAGCAGAGCAGAGCAGCAGAGCACAGAGCAGCAGAGCAGCAGAGAGCACAGAGCCAGAGGAGCCAGAGATTTCGGGCTTCTCCCGCCTCGATCTCTCCAAAATCTGGGTTCCCGCCATCCTTTGGGCCGCCGTGGGTCCTGGGGCGCCAGACAGAGCTGGGAACCAGGATTTCGGGGTTTTCCAGCCTCGATCTGTCCAAAATCCTGGTTCCCGCCATCCTCTGGGCTGCCGTGGGTCCCTGGGGCGCCAGATAGGGCCGGGAACCAGGATTTCGGGCTTTTCCAGCCTCGATCTCTCCAAAATCCTGGTCCCCGCAATCCTCTGGGCCGCCGTGGGTCCCTGGGGCGCCAGACAGAGCTGGGGACTGGGAATTTGAGCTTTTCCAGCCTCGGTCTATCCAAAATCCTGGTTCCCGCCCTCCTCTGGGCCGCCGTGGGTCCCTGGGGCGCCAGACAGAGCCGGGAACCGGGATTTCGGGTTTTTGCAGCCTCGATCTCTCCAAAATCCTGGTTCCCGCCCTCAGGGCCGCCGTGGGTCCCTGGGGCGCCAGACAGGGCCGGGAACCGGGATTTCGGGCTTATCCAGCCTCGATCCCTCCAAAATCCTTGTCCCCACCATCCTCTGGGCCGCCGTGGGTCTCTGGGGTGCCAGACAGAGCCGGGGACCGGGAATTTGGATTTTTTCCAGCCTCGATCTCTCCAAGATCCTGGTTCCCGCCCTCTGGGCCGCCGTGAGTCCCTGGGGCGCCAGACAGAGCTGGGAACCGGGAGTGTGGGCTTCTCCAGCCTCGATCTGTCCCAAATCATGGTTCCCGCCCTTCTCTGGGCCGCCGTGGGTGCCTGGGGCGCCACACAGAGCCGGTAACCGGGATTTCGGGCTTTTCCAGCCTCGATCTCTCCAAAATCTGGGTTCCCGCCATCCTCTGGGCCGCCGTGGGTCCCTGGGGCGCCAGACAGAGCTGGGAACCAGGAGTGTGGGCTTTTCCAGCCTCGATCTCTCCAAAATCCTGGTTCCCCGCCCTCCTCTGGGCCGCCGTGAGTCCCTGGGGCGCCAGACAGAGCCGGGAACCGGGAATTTGGGCTTTCCAGCCTCGATCTCTCCAAAATCCTGGTCCCCGCCCTCCTCTGGGCCGCCGTGGGTCCCTAGGGCGCCAGACAGAGCTGGGAACCAGGAGTGTAGATTTTTCCAGCCTCGATCTCTCCAAAATCCTGGTTCCCGCCCTCCTCTGGGCCGCCGTGGGCCCCTGGCATCGACGCCGCCTTGCGTCGCGGAGGCGGCGGCCGCCGCGGCGGCCGCCGCGTTGCAAAATCTTGGTTCCCGGCAGCGGCGGGGCGCGCGGGAGCGCTGGGAACCGGCGCGCACCCTTTCGCGCGCACGCGCCCAGCGAATTTCTTTCGAACGGCAGCAATTTTCGCGCGAATCGTTTTCGCGCGGACGGCGGACCCTCAGCCAGGGCAGTCTTACGAATTCGGTCCCGCCACTCTCCCGCGGCATGCATGTCCGTGCGCGCATCGCGTGCGCGTGCGACAAGAAAGTCCATGCATGGACCATGTACACGTATGGCAGCAAGCATATGTCGGGCATCGTGTGCAATAGACCGGACGTGCTTGCGCTCCATTGCGCGCCCTGGCAGGTACTACATGCTCGTGTTTATCCACGGCGCAATCCCAACAGCCCCTGTAGATCCGGCCGCAGACGTAAGACATGATGCTGTGCTGCTGCGCGCCATGTACTGTGCCTCAGTCGTGTCTCCAGTGTGCCAACCACAAGATACGGATGAGCTGCAAACTGGTGTGCAAGTACTCGCATGCGACCTGGCGCGTCAATCCCTGCTGCATCTCGATATGCGCATCGTGTGCGGGATCCCCCGCTCCGTGTAGATCGGTTCCGGGGTCGGAGAGTCAACGCGCTGGAAATTGCAAGCCTGTTCTGGCAATGCGGCATGCGCGCTTCCTGTTGGCTGGCAGGGGCCGCTGCGGCACGGCTTCGGCTTCCGAGGAAGGCCCAGCTGTCGGCGACGAGAAAACTTCCGAGGGGGGCGCCCTCGGTGGCGTGATATCGGGCAGGGCGGCCGGAGTGGCTTTGGGCAACTCCCTCGCACTGCGGTTGCTCCTATCGACTAGCCAAAGCCATCGCACTGCAGACAGCTGATCGAGAGAGGCGCCCAGGGGACAGTGTCCATCAAGTCTGGGGTTACTTGGCCCACGGATGCAACACGCGCAAGAGTGTCGGCCAATTCGTTCATAGGGGCCACCCTATGACCTGACGCGTGGTACCAATCGACCCTCTGCCGATTTCGAAGAACCTTTTAGAATTGAATCCAAGAGCCGAGGCAAGTGACCACGCGAGGTAGATTGAAGCCCAACCTTGGCAGCCAACCATCATCATATCTCTGGAGCGTGGAGAAACCAACGCTCAAGCCAGAGAGCAGCCAGGAACTCTGCAGGACCAGACGCGGACACATACTGATCACGCAAGGCGGGGTCAGGGCCTGCTAGATAGCCTTCGAACCGATATCGATCTTCCTGCGTAACAGCGCACAGCATAAAAACCCGAGCTGGAGGGCTTCCGACCTTTGTACTACATCCCCTGGACGAAAGTTTTTTTCCGCTTGTGCCCGGAACGACGGCTTGAGGTTTTGAGCATTCGCGCGTGAGATAACCACCGTCGGATCCCATGAAGTTCGCGCGGATCCAGTTGTGGCTTTGGCGTCTGCTTCGGTGGATCCGATTTCCGTCCGCGCAGATCCGATTTCGGACTAGCTGGATCCGTGTTCGGTCTTTTTTACGGTGGATCAAATTTTTACCTCGTTTTAGAATTATATTTTTCAACTTAAATGGGGAACCGGAAGAAGTCGGAAGATCCCGCCCGTGTTGCGATGTTCTGGGGGAAAGGGGCTCGGTCATTAGCTTCCAGCTCATCGTCGCCATCTGCACCTCAAGAGGAAAATCTTTCGTCTTGCGTAAGTGTCAGATCCCCCTGAACCGTCAGCGTAAGCCACAAAACGCATTATATCTTCATCCAACACAGAGTTGTCGTCACACAACTGAGGCTGACACGTCAAAATGTGCAATGTACTCGTGTAGTCGGTGGGAGAGGAGGCATCGCCCAACATGTTGCTCTCGCTCATGAGATACAAACAGAAGTGCAAGATGGCAGGCATACCAGGGAGCAGCAAGCGTCGCAACCAGGCTGCTGCACTCCGGCACAGGGCTGCAAG